GGCCCAAGTGAGGCACGGGCCAGCTGTTTCTGAACGTCATCATTTCTCTTAAACTTTATGTGGAAATTTTGAACATCAATTAAAAAAACCTCAGGATTTCCAGCAAAAATGTTCTTGGGAATTAAGTTCGGGATGCTGAGCAGCAACCAGACTGAGAACCTTATGCAGAGATTTCCGCAGGAGGTGTCACTGTTAGGCCAGAGAAAACTGCACAGTGAGCATTGTGTGTGTAGTGAGAGGCAGGGTGATAACACAGCCTGAGCCCCATGATGGAGCAAGGAAACCCCCATCTTTTCCAGCCAGCCCGCACCTGAGAAGCCCCAGTCCTCCCAGCAGTAGCACAAGCCTGGCTTGCCAGGCCAATATAATTCAAGTAGAGTGACGCCTTCTGACGGGACTGCTGGCTTTAGTTCTTACAGCGGCAGGCTTGCTAGCCCCTCTCTGCTCCCCTTTCGTTGTGTGCATTGACCAGCAACGCCAAACTGAACCAGTCTAAGGCGTGTAGCCTGGTTTTTCTGAGAGCTGAGCCACGGTTTTGCTGCCTATAAAAACACAGCTCGTACTGCAGTCTGTAGGCAGACTTTGGTTCCCATCAGCTGAGCCTGCACTGGTCGAATGGGCAGCGACTCCCCAGGAACTCACCCAAAGTTCTTTTGATTTGACATGCAGCGGATGGAGCCCGCAAAGGACTTTGTCAATAACAGACGTATAGTACCTGCCAACAGCAACTACCCTGGCGCCCATATTGATTTGGAGCGGGAAATGTATTGCCCTTGACGAGAAAGCACGGGCTGCTGGAGAACGGTCAAGAGCCATTAATAGTGCGCGCGCGCACACACACACACACACACACACACACACACACATCTCTCTCTCTCTCTCTCTCCTGTCCTGTCCCTATGCATGCTGACTCACATTACCAGCATGTGTGTGTAGCTTCCCTCTCTTACACGCGCTCTCTGTTGAAATAGCAGCACATGGGTTAACGTCTTGCCTTCCTTTACCTCTCTGCATTGAGCCCTTACTAATTTTAGTGCCTTGCATGGTATCAAGTAGCAGGGGGTAGCCGTGTTAGTCTGTAGCTACAAAAACAACAAGGAGTCTGGTGATGCAGCTGAAGAAGTGAGGTTTTTAACCCATGAAAGCTTATGCCCAAATAAATCTGTTAGTCTTTAAGGTGCCACCAGCCTCCTTGTTGTTTTTGTAGATACAGACTAACACGGCTACCCCCTGATACTAATTTTAGTGCCGCTTTTTCCTGGGTTTGTGCAGACGCGTTGCTCGTGAAAGGTGCCAGTCTGGTGCGCTGGCTCTACTTCACTCCGGCACAGGCACCCGCAGAAGGCCTGTAGCACCCCACTCTCCTGCCTACATGGCGTGGCACTGACCTGGGGGGATCACCTGAACTAGTTCTGTCTCCATGGCCCATTGTCCTTGGCATCGCTTCTCAGCTTCTCCCCACATGCCCGGCAAAAGCGGGGGGTGGGGAAGAGAGGGGGCGCCTTAATGCCAAATGTTGTGAACGCTGTGATGTGACTGATCTAGCACCTCAGCCGACATGGCAATAGAGGGCTAATGTAGTGTCTAGGAAGTGGGTGGTATCCCTTTAAATAGTTTGGGAGCTTCCGAGTGGGTCTCCCCACCTTCCATTGCAGACACCCCCAGACCCTAACGAAGCAGCGGTGTCGCTCGGCCACCTATGCAGCTTTGTGCAGGGCTGGTAAAACTGGAACCCAACGGTTGCCATGTGGCGGTGTCGCTGCGCAAAGACGCAACAGCTTGATAGCGCCACCTAGTGGCCAGGTTGAAGAGAGGGCGGTTAGAGAAGAGGCCAGAGACAGGAGCATGTGACAGTGTGACAGCCGGCAACTGCTCACAGGCGACAACGAGCACACCACCAGCCACATTCCAGCACTGCCAAGATGGGGACTCTGTTGTGGGACATGCTGGGCAAACACGTAGCAAGAGCCAGGCCGGACGAAGGGGAAACAGAAACACTGAGCCAGAAGGGCCTTGCCCAAGGTCACCCAGCATGGAACCCAGGTGTCCTGACACCCAATCCAGTGCCCAGCGACTGGTTCTCAACGAAAATGTAACTGTGGAGCACTGGGAGCAAAGGATGGCCCATACCATCGAGCAGTATAATGCTAGAACAGGCCTCAGTCACGGCTTGCCCAGCTGGGGTAGTGCACATTTTGGTTCACTGCAAAGGGGTTGGGCAGGGCAAGTGTTATGCCTGCCGCCACTGCATCGGCAATAGCCAAGCTCTCCTGCTCCCAGCTCCTCAGCCAATCTGGCTCTCCTCCCCCCGCTCAGCTCCCCCCACAACCCGGTTCTTTGTCCCAGGCTCTTTGCCAAGCGAGTCCCAGTCACCTTTGAGCTCAGACTGACTGATCTAGTGCCCCCCTCCCCCACCTTAAAAAAATCTATGACTCCTTGGCCACCCAATTCCCAATCGCCAGTCTCCTTGCCCAATCGCCACTTTTTCCCCCTCCCCCCGCCTGCAAACGCCCAGTCTCCCCCTGCAGCCCACCCCAGGCTCCTTGTTCCAATCGAATTCCGCCCGTCGCCCCCGCCGGCTGGCTCTGCGTGCCGATCATCAGCTTTCTCCTGAACACGCTGGGCGTCAGCGGAGGGAAGCACAGTGCACATCAACGACACAGGCCCTGCTCTCAGCTTTGGTGCCCAACCTTGGCTTGGCCCACAGCCACCCAGTGCTGCAAAGGCCGGGAAAGTCCTGCTCAGCCCCGGACAGAATCTTCTGTGTTTAGCTGCAAAGCGCTGGTACGTTACAAGTAACTAGTCCTTGTGCCACAGCACGGTGCACTAGAGCTTTTCAAAGGATTTTTTTTTTTAAACAGAGGCAAAACAATGTGTTTTTTCACTTGCCTCCATCTTGGAAACAGCTGGACCATTTGGGCTGAACTTTTGCAAAACAATTCAGCCTGAGGCCGCCCGGCCAGCATGGCAACATTTCCGCCCAAACAGCTAAAATTTGGCAACGTTATAAGTAACTGAAAACACGGTGTGGTATCAGGCAAACTTACTACTAAGCAGTAGCTGTCAGGCTGGCCTATAATACAAACCGCTGAGACAAGGGGTAATTCACCATAAGCATACACTTACCGTATGTACGATGTGCTAGAAGTAGGGCACTGACTGTGTACGTGCCGGGATGTATTTTGTGCTTGGTTCATGACCACTGTTGTGTTGCAGCTGAATGCAATTTGCGGGTCTAATGCAGCAGAGATGTGCTAACTGCATGCTACTGAACGCATTGATATGCTCCTAGACGCTGGCTTGCTCACTGCCTGGGCCTGGCTACTGATCACAGTGGTGGGATGGACCAGACAGTAACTGGGAAAGCGCTACCGAGTCTAACCAAAAATACACCCATGAGCTCAGCTGGTGTCTTTCGAAATGAGGCTATCATCATAGCAAGGTAAGGGAGCGAAAGACGGAAACTAGTGTAATAGGATTCGGGGCCCTTGTGTAGCAGCTTTTAGCCCAGGCTTTCAACGTCATTAATATTATCGGTTCTACTGCAACTTACACCCGAAAAGCTCCAAGCATGTAAACAAACCAACCAACCCCGGAGTGAATTAAGACTTGTAACACCCCTGGAAGGTTGGTAAATAGCCCTGTTTTACAGCTGGGAACCTGACGAGGGGAAGTGACTTGCTCTGGGTTAAAGAGGACGCCCTAGTTCTAGCTACTAGCCCGTACTCTCTTCCAGCACGCAGCATCGAACCCAGAAGTCTCGAATCCCAGGCGTCTATTCTAGACCAGCGTGCAGGAGTGGCCAACCAGTGGCTCCGCAGACACATGCGGCTCTTCAGAAGTTAATATGCGGCTCCTTGTCTAGGCACCGACTCCGGGGCTGGAGCTACAGGCGCCAACTTTCCAATGTCCCGGGGGGTGCTCACTGCTCAACCCCTGGCTCTGCCACAGGCCCTGCCCCCACTCCACCCCTTCCCGCCCCCTCCCCTGAGCCTGCCAGGCCCTCGCTCCTTCCCCTCACTGCCAGAGCCTCCTGCACGCCATGAAACAGCTGATCAGGAGGTGCGGGGAGGGAGAGGGAGGCGCTGATCGGTGGGGCTGCCGGTGGGCAGGAGGCGCTGGGAGCAGGGGGGAACTGATGGGGGGGCTGCTGACGTATTACTGTGGTTCTTTGGCAATGTACATTGGTAAATTCCGGCTCCTTCTCAGGCTCAGGTTGGCCACCCCTGGCCTAGAGCATCCATCCCAGACTTCCACACTTCTTCCATGACTGCTCTGCTCCATTTAGCTGGGTGGGATTATTTCCGTTTTGGTTTCACGGTAATTAAACCAGTGGCCGTGTTAGTTGTTTTCATTCTTAGCCGTTTAGCTACCTGGCTTTTCAGAGGGGTTGACGTGTTTAAAAAATGTGTAATCCGCCATCATTTCTGTGACTGCGCCGCGTCTCATTTTAACACGTTTCAAACATGTAGTGTAGCCGTTTCGGTCTGCTGGCGCGGTGGCCCCGCTCGGCTCCACGCAGGTGCCAGCAATAGGCCTGGCCCTGGTGCTAGGGTGACCAGATGTCCCGATTTTATAGGGACAGTCCTAATATTTGGGACTTTTTCTTAGATAGGTGCCAATTGCCCCCCACTTCCTGTCCCGATTTTTCACACTTACTATCTGGTCACCCTAGCTTGGCTCCACGCAGGTGCCAGCCATAAGCCAGGCCCTGGTGCTGAACCAGCACGCCCGCTCTTGCACCAGTTGCGTGAAGGGCACCGTGGAAAAGCCGGCCGTGGGACTAGATTTTTTGGGGGTTTAATAACGCAGCAAATACTAACCAGGAAATCTTGTGCAACGTATCCAGCAAAGCCTGAGGGATGATCGCTGTGTCTGAGTGATACAGTAACGCCTGGATTGCACCGTGTTATTCTAGCCAGCAGCTCTTGGGTTCCCTGCGCCCTTAGGGACACAATTAAGGCCCCAGTCTTTAGGCAAAGGTAACTATGGTAGCCAAACATTAGCTGTTACTGTCAGTGGAGAAAAGCCTGGTCAAGAACTAATGAGCCATCAGCATCAGCCCCCGTTATCCCGCCCAGAGGGCATTGGCGTGATCAGCCCGGGCGCCAGGGACACAGGCTCGCTCGCGTTCAGCTTAGCTCGGTACCAAAGCGTTAGCCAGCCAAATCCTCCGGGGTGGGGTGGGGGAAAGACGTTCTCATTATCCCGCTCGGCGCTGTGGCGGAGGCAGCTGGCCTGGCTGTCCATTAATAGATTACACGGAGGATTTGAGATTGTTAACAGGGAAGAGCGCTTTAGCTGGATCCATGCTGGTAAAAGGCCACTGAGGCGCGCCCCACAGCGGAGGACGCATCCTTTAGGAGGGACCTGTACTTCTCCCCCTCCCGGTTACACATTTTCGGACAAGGTAGGTGGCTGGTTTGATGTGTTTCTTTGAAAAGCGGCACTGCAAATGCTTTGGCAGGGGAGGGGAGATGGGGGGGGTGAATTATTTCCCCCCCACGCTCCCTCCAGGGGAAGCGGGGTGAGAGATTAAATCAAAGCCGCCTTGTATGCATCTCTTTGTAACAACAGCAGAGACACGCATCGCCGGCTCGCTGGCCCCGGAGGGGAGCCCGGAGGGGAGCGTGCGGCTGCGGCTTGTTGAACAGTCC